TCACCAAAATCTCTCTGTCGGATACCAGGGCAAATGGTTTCGGAATACCCATGGATGTCCGTTAGATCAACCTCAACGTTGGATAAAGGGAACCACGATGTCCCGGCACAGAGACCAACCAGGTTTTGATGTGGATCAAGGTGACCTGATGGAGCGAGGAGACAGATTTGCTATCAGCCCCTAGTTTCGCCAGGCGTGTCCGTGTGAAGCAATTCTTGTGATCCACAAATACTCGAGTTGTACCGAGCCGTGAAACCCACTTTACAGGTGAGTGACTAACGTAAATACTGACGTTCATCTGGCATTAACCGCAGTAAATAGTCAGTCAGTATATAGTCAGTAAATACTCAGTAAATGGTCAGTAAATAATCAGAGATTGCGTGTTATCTTGAAAACCTTACAGATTGACTGTGATGCCATGTTCACCCAACAAGCATATATATTCACTTATGATATTTGACAACAATAATAATACCATTGAAGTTGATACAATGATACGATGATTTTGATGGAGTATGGAGTAAATTTACTCACAGGAGTAAAAGTATATTTACTTTCTGTTCACATGGATATTTAATCAACAGGAGTATATCTGATTTGCATACCACCCAGACATCTGGTTTTGAAGAAGTTTGGTGAATTGATCTTCAGACACAAAATGACTAAATGAGTAGGCTGTTGATTTTAAAACGCAGAGATCATCAGTATTCTTTTACTACAGGACGTGTCCTAGGTCCAACAAATGACAAGAATGATTGGGCAAAGACCTGTTCAAGAACCTTGTGGACAGACATTGTGCACCTCACCTTTGATGATGATCAGTGGGTCATCACGGATACGATAGACCGTGAGAAAACTTATCAGGACCGAAGAAAACTTGACTTTGGAGGATAAAATGGCCCAAATCCCATGGTGCACTACGTTTCGGAAATACGGGGCTGCCGTGGCCGCCGGGAACATAGTGTAACCCTAGCATAAATGAAGTAACATCCATGTCATGTAACAAGGTCGTACAAAAAAGAGAAATTGAAGAAAGCACTATCAATTCCAATGAAACTTATGTTTCTGATGAAACATCGATAAAACATAATCGTAATGGAATAGTAGTACATTTGAAGATATGATGCAATACATTTGCTTACAGGAGTACATGAAAAGTGTCATTTACAAGGTCAATTTGCTCATGGAGTAAAATCTCTTTACCTCCGAGCAGGTGTAAATTTACTCCAGGAGAATAAATGCTTACGTGAGTAAATTCGTTTTGTGACGTATACATGGTCAATTTACTTACCATAAGTAAATTTACTTACATAAGCAAATATACTCCTGTAAGTAAATGTGTGCATGTAAAAGCAGTTTATAGACATTCTGACCAGAGTAGCAGTGACTTCTGATGATGGCAAGATCAGCATTAGAAGTACTGCCTGATTACCAACTGTGTTGTTTAGCAGGAACAGAGTATAGTGGTAGAAAATATTGCAGAGTCCTACTTACATCAGTCTGTGTTGTGGGAGAAAGAGAAATGGGAGAAAAAGAACATGAACAGGCAATACGACAATGACCACTGTAATCAGGCCACTGTAATCAGACCACTGTAATCAGGCCACTGTAATCAGACCACTGTAATCAGGCCACTGTAATCAGACCACTGTAATCAGGCCACTGTAATCAGACCACTGTAATCAGGCCACTGTAATCAGACCACTGTAATCAGGCCACTGTAATCAGACCACTGTAATCAGGCCACTGTAATCAGACCACTGTAATCAGACCACTGTAATCAGGCCACTGTAATCAGACCACTGTAATCAAACCACTGTAATCAGACCACTGTAATCAGGCCACTGTAATCAGACCACTGTAACCAAACCACTCTAATCAGACCACTGTAATCAGGCCACTGTAATCAGACCACTGTAATCAAACCACTGTAATCAGACCACTGTAATCAGGCCACTGTAATCAGACCACTGTAATCAGGCCACTGTAATCAGACCACTGTAATCAGGCCACTGTAATCAGACCACTGTAGACAGGCCACTGTAATCAGACCACTGTAATCAGGCCACTGTAATCAGACCACTGTAATCAGGCCACTGTAATCAGACCACTGTAATCAGGCCACTGTAATCAGACCACTGCAATCAGGCCACCGTAATCAGACCACCGTAATCAGGCCACTGTAATCAGGCCACTGTAATCAGACCACTGTAATCAGGCCACTGTAATCAGACCACTGTAATCAGGCCACAGTAATCAGACCACTGTAATCAGACCACTGTAGACAGGCCACTGTAATCAGGCCACTACAATCAGACCACTCCAATCAGACCACTGTAATCAGACCACTGTAATCAGACCACTGTAATCAGACTACTGTTTTGTAATCAGACCACTGTAATCAGACCACTGTAATAAAACCACAGTAATCAAACCACTGTAATCAGGACACTGTAATCAGACCACTGTAACAAGACCACTGTAACCAGACCACTGTAATCAGACCACTGAAATCAGACCACATTAATCAGACCACTGTAATCAAACCACTGTAATCAGACCACTGTAATCAGACCACTGTAATCAAACCACAGTAATCAGACCACTGTAATCAGACCACTGTAATCAGACCACAGTAATCAGACCACTGTAATCAAACCACTGTTATCAAACCACTGTAATCAGGCCACTGTAATCAGGCCACTGTAATCAGACCACTGTAATCAGGCATTACAGAGTTGTCTGTCTGGAAGATTTATCTATCTGTCTGTCATCCCATCCATACTACCACATTTAATATTATTGAAGCATATCTTTAATAATTAACATTGAACATTAATACATATTAACGAACACACACAAACCTATATATCTTCACACTAAAATACTTGATTTCAAACGAAAAATACACACAGGTTATTCGGAGACGCGCAAGGATTGATACAAGGCATATCTGTACGTCCATAACAGATATTATCAGCCATATGTGTCGTACAATCTCATCATTTTGAAAAAAAGACCATTTTCTAAAAACTCTCGAAAGAAAAGATCCAAGGTAAGTGAAATCTTAAAAAACCATGACCTATTTTTTATTGAACCCGAAACATTCATCATTTTACCTGATAAGTTAGTTAAGTGAAGGTCGTGAGCAGATTATCACCCGTATGACACAAGTGTTCACAGAGTGTTGCTGTGTTCTGGAACATGACATCGTGTTTGCTGTCTTTGTGATGTTAAGCTGGAACGGTTGAGTGTATGGAGGCGAGGGCTAGGTGGCGCTGTGGCAACAGAGCTGCTGTCATTGGTATATAACGACTGAGATATGAACTATTGTATACATATCACACAGTAGAATGATTAAAGAGGTTGATCTGAAGTGTAAGCCAGGCTTGTATTCAGTGAGTAATTTCACTTCTACGGTGCCATGAGACTTGGTGACATTACTGTACATTGTATGCATTTGAGCCTCTCCCGTCTGACTGGTGGCATGTGGTGACTCAGTTTGGATTAACCCAGTTATAACATTAACCCAGTTATAACATGAATCCAGTTATAACATTAATCCAGTTATGACATTAATCCAGTTTTAACATAAACCCAGTTATATTACGACTAGTGAATTCACGTGGGAGTTAATCCCGAAATGATGAAGGTCTTTGACCTGTACCACTTTTGTGAAGCCCATGGACAGACTATTGTATAACAGGGCGAATTTGTGATTATAAAACACGATCATAGGTGCCTGGCATGCCAAAGGGACGCAACTCTACACGGTGGCCACCCGTACCTATGCCAGACTTAAACGTGTTCTCTGCATTGCTTGAGTAATTTATTCCCCTAACACATGCTTTGTTACTGTTATGCATTACCTTTTGTATTTCTACCGACTTAATTACATGACGCATTTTGAAATAACACATTTGGCGAATACATCATTTAAAAAAAGGTTCTCCAATAATATTGGTTATCAGTGCGATGAATGAGAAAAGCATCATATAAACGTATCTACAGATCTTCTTTCGAAGTTACAGTAAGGATCTATAATAGAAGAAACATACATGTGTGAACACTTCCGGGTAATCTATACCACACGGAGGATGGGGCACAACGTACTGTGACCTCTTCTTTCTGAAACAGGTTCGCATGTTGTAGAAGAGGCAAGAACGAATAATTACCAAATGCCTATTTACCGGATCGGAACAACATCAACTACAGCAACAGCTTTATAACGTCGACAGGTGCCAAGGATGCATTCATCACATGCCAACATCAATCGAATCTGCTGATGCTTCTGGATCACCTTTAATGTATTTTACTATCAAGCGACATCAAAGCCTATTTGAAATATAATCTTTGAGGCGAAGACATTTAAAGCATTGTGAAATATGCCTGCTGAATTGAAAAATAACTTCAATACCCCAAAAAAAAACAAAACCCCGAAAAACAGAAACCCCAAAATAAAAAAAAAATAATAATAAAAACAACAACAACGAAAAACCCAAAACAACAAACAAACAACAACAACAACAACAAAAAACAAAAACACAAAAATCAAAACAACCCCCCACAATAAACTAAACAAATAAACGATCAGCATAAAGAAATCGATTAAGTTTAATGAAAACAAATATTCCCCTTGATTTGATTACTGGTATGTCTAATGCATTATGTGATTCAATGAGGCAACTACAGTCAAATGTAAACGGAATAAACACCCGGGCGAATGAAACTTGAAACTCGACACGGAATGCGAATCGGATTTGAAAACAAAATGTTTATTTGTTGTTCCTTAAGAGCATATTGTATTTCTATAGCGCTAACACTACTTCCCTACGGGCAAACACTTCGGGATACATATCTTAATTAAACCAACCTGTCCGCGAAACACCCATACAAAGAATATTGTATTAACCAGTGTCGCCCCCAGGGAAATCACCAACCCTAAAAGAACCTCACCTATAAACCTGCTTGCCGTCTTGCGCGTCGAGTTCTATAAATAGCTCTCGTGGACGGGTTTGTTCGGCATGCATACCTGAGCGGTGTGCCTGACGAGTTAGTCATGGAGGGAGCGCGTCTCCAGGTATGTAGAACTGTATTTAATTAAGGATTGCCAAGCTAATGAAGACTTTGGTTTGTTAAACTACGAATTTCCCAATTTGCGGCCCCGTGTCGTTTCCAGACATGACATTTAGTGTCGGAGAAAATTAAGAGAAACCGCCTTTCAGTCGGTTGTTGTGTTTGTGACAGTAGCACAGTCGCCGTGTTAGGGCAAGTGGTACACTGAAGTTGTTAACGATAAAAATAACATTGAAATTATAGATCTCATGCATATGAGTTCACTAAGCCGTTAGGTCCCACTCGCTCTGCTATAAGAAATCTGTCGTCACTTACTGGTTCAGTGATTTTGTCTGAATCGATTTGTGTTGATTTTGTCCTGTAACAGGTCACAGAGACGAGAGTGGGAAAGAAGTAGGATCTTGCCCTGACAGATTCTGTCATCATAGTTTAGTTTTCACGTTTTCTTCTATCTCTTGACAGCGCTACAAAGGGACTTGAAAACGACGTGCGCATCATTACCTACGTGAAGCCAAGACTTGAATGGGTGCGACTCACTCAATTGCTTGAGATCAACAAATTTCAGCGAAAATTCACGAGGTGGAATTTGTCACATACAGCGAGTCATCGATCGGACACACGCCAAGTTGTTACGAACTATTATCAGGTATGGCCCCTGGTAGATCCCTGTAGTTGTGAACAGGTGTCGTTATCAAGGAGGACAGTCTGGTAGGGTGAAATAGGTTCTCATCTGCTCACCATATTTACCTGTGAAAATGTCGTCTGCTGAAGAGGAAACTGCCTCGTGTTCATCGTCGCAAGGTGTTAATGATGTGTTGGTCCTAGGGGATGACGTTTCATTGAATAGCGACATAGATTTCAACGATGTGGTTGGAAAATTTGACACAGGACTTTGTTTGGAACCCGATACCAACATATCTGTTGGTGATGGAGAAAATAGTTTACGGGACGACGATTCAATGGGAGCTGCCTCTAGTAGCAGCAGTATCAAAGAGGACATTGTTGAGGAAGAACCTAGCGACGACGACAACGAGGATGAAGAGGAGGAGAAACCCACAGCTAACGGTACTTCAACTGTTGCCCTAGCAGGGGCTGTGGCAGAGGCTTCAGAGGCCGGAGGCAAAGACGGTAAGAAATCAAAATCTGTAAAAGAGTCTAGTCCCACTAAGGAAAAGAAGAAAAAGAAGTCCCCCTTTGCTCTCCTTAGGAAATTAACCAAATTTGAGAAAAAGCCGAAACACAGACCGTTTTCTTCCGAATTCAACCAGATTCGAATTGATCGTCTACCTCAGTTGTTTGTTGCCAAGTATTTGGGCAAGAAAGACTCCAAGGGCTTGTATGGACTCCACCATGTGAGGAAGCCAGTGGACGAGATGGTCAATAAGGTCAAGAAGGGTCTTGAGGCAACAGACCGCTTGGAGCTTCCTTTAGTTTACCTTGTGTTCACACCAAAGGGCATTGATATAAGAGAGCATAAGCTGAATAAGGTGAAGGGAGTTGAGTACGGTATGGTACCAATAGACTTCATATCGTATGGTGTACAGGACATCAAGTACTGGCGTGTGTTTACGTTCATTGTGGTTAAGGAACTGTCCTCACGAAGCAAAGTGACTGAGTGCCATGCCTACCTGTGTGATTCTTCTCTGAACTCCCGCAAGATGGCCCTGGCCCTTGGTGCCTGCTTCAAGTTGTACTCCAGGAGGTTGTCCACGGAGGGTAAGTCCCATAACTTCCAGGTGGAACTCCGACCCCCAGACGAGCTTGCAGATGCATTCTCTAAGGAGTACGAGGCTTAAAAACTTACTTACAGTAGACCCACAACCGTCATCGGATGTACTTCGAGCAACGGCATAAACATCCATGGCGAACTGTTTGAGAATCTGTACCCTGTGTGTGATACGCGTGTGCTTCCGTACATAATCCTGATACCAAATCTTGAAAGCATTTGTTTTTGAAAAAGACACACTTTTATCAAGCAACACTTGTCATTTACTCAGAATATATTGTGATTCAAATTGTGAACCAATTTGTTGAGGATTAATGAATCTGAGTTGGGATGAGGAACATTCAAACCACGTCCTGATTCCCGGGGTGGTAAGTGCACGTGCTGGGGATTAATACTAAAATGAAGGATAACTACTGCTGATTTTACGAAGGCTCGTAACTCTTCCAGTGATTTCCGGTTTACTATGGCTGCAAATATTCATTGGAGTGGGGTCTATGCTTCCATGACCCCAGGGTCAGACACGCCTACCCTCCGCCCTCATGGTGGATGTGTCACATGGTATTACATCTTTTTCTGTGTAAATTATATATGATATGTATGATATTATACGAAATGCCATATTTTGTACGTGTTTAGCATATTATTACAATACCAAACCTTAATCGTTACTAAATGTCACCTTATATGGAAATAACCTGGGATGAGATATACAAATCGTTTGTACTTAATTAATTTAAATGGAGGCGCCTGTGTATGGTTCTGGTCTTTACCTTCCTGACGAACTGTTGTTTTGATATCACCTTTACAGTAAAGTTTACACTTTACAATCAGAGTCTGTTGGTAACTCTCACGTTTGATAAATATTTACATTCCGGAGCAAACTTTGTTGTCAAATAATTTGTTTGATGGAAATGTTATTTTGAATTATTAAAGTCTCACAAATTCAGGAAACCAGGAAATTGTTTTCATGTGAAATTAATCTCAGATGGTATGTAACGCTGTGAATAGCTTGAAAGCATCCACAGGGTCGTCTCACGCGGCAGCATTGTAGTGCTGTGTCGACGTCAATCTGTACTGCAGCAGCACTAAATTGTCAAGTTTCATCCATATTTATAATTTACTCAACTCGCTGTTTTCAATCCTTTGTATAAATATAAGCACAGCTGGTTATGACAATATTGGCTGAATCATGCAATACAAACGACACGCGCCAACTGGATGCCAGGTAGTGGTTAATGAGGTAGTGAACACCTGTAAAATATAATACAAAATCCAGGAAATAACTTATTAATATCACCAACCAGACCGTATTCTTGCCGCGCTTCCGATATATTCATGTAGAGCCAACGCTCGTATTAAAGGGACTTTCGTAATGTTTTTTATCCTTTGTTAATTGGTCATACGTAACCTTTACCGTCATGGGAATTTATTTAAGTCATATTTTATGAAAGCCTTAACTCATAAGTCCACAACCGGTTTAGATAAAATGATAAAGGCACCCAATGTATTGAAATTGTTTGGTGTATGCCCTGAAAGCTCTGTGTGTCTCTTTGGGAAGTCATAATGTTTAGCTATCGTAAACAACCGTGACGGCTCCAGATATAAGCTGTTTATACACTTATATCTCTACTTAAGTATGTATAGCGTTGTCCAGGGATGGGACAATCCATCTGTTCTTACAGAAATGTTACATGTGCCAAGGTCTATTTCAAACAATATTAGTCACAAAATGAATATGAATAATATCGTAATAAACTATTCAGACTATATTTTCTTTTGCTTCCGTGTTTCCGTGTGTTGGTGTTGCCATGGTTACGGGGTGTAGCGTGTTGCCACTTAATATGTTTTGTCGGTGTATGTTGTTAACGATATTCATGAGATGTTATTGTCGCTTGTGAACGTTGCAACAACGCCCAGCGTGCAGCCACGCATGTGGTCATGCATATCGTATGTCTTCAGGCTGCATCGACCATTACCCAGATATGTGTTAGTTTATAATCAACATGGCCGCCTTGCAGCAGACGATAACACCAGACAACCGAACGATGAATTATTTCACCAAAATTTAATCAGAATTGACTTCCTGAACAATCACGCGAGAATGGATGGCCATCTGTTGTGGGTTTGGATCAAACCGATTTGTGTAACCGGGTTGAGATGGAATCAATTTCCATCGATCGATTTGTAAGTGACGATACAGTTATATCTGTAGATATCGAGCGTTATGACCCAATATAGAACATCTGCTGTCGGTAAATGAATAGACTTGGTGTCGGTCGATATTTGCTTTCAACAAATTCCATGTCTCTGAATAAATCATGTACGAGGAAAAATATGTTTGAGAAGCAGAAATAGGTTATTATGCAGTTTAGATAACACTTGGAACCACTACGACCTTGACCTTGTACGACGTGAGAGGGATATATATATATATATACACACAGTCATTCATATTACAGTAATCCTGATTCGTCTATGTAACTGCTTTTCTTATTTTTCCTTGGTATCTTCAAATATTGAAATAGAAGGTCAACCTGCTTTTAAAGTTGGTTGTTGGTGTGAAGTCAATGTCAGATAGGTCATTATTTGTACTGCACAAAAGAACATAAAGAACGACTGTAGTATTTAATATTACTACAGTTTATCCATCATTTATTGTCGGATTAGCCATGGTAATAAGAAACTGCGGTGTATTTGTTGTTTTACGCCTCACTCAGCAATATTCCAGCTATACGGAGACAGTCAGTAAATAAAGTCTGGACCAGACAACCCAGTGATCAACACCATGAACATCGACCGTCGCAATAGGGGTACGATTACGTGTCTCAACCAACTCAGCGAGCCTGACTACCCGATCCCGTTAGTCGCTTCTTACGATAAGCACGGGATGCTGAAAACCAATTCAACAGGGACCTTCAAGGGTCAGTAATGTAAAGGAATTTAAAGGAGTGACAAGTAGTAATATGAAAGAATGTAGTAGAGTGATAGAGTAACAATAGTGATATGAAATGTAATGTCATATTAACTCTAGCAATATTATTCTTTAACTCTTTGCGACTAGTATGTTTACACACGATTATATGGCGTACAGGGGTGGACGTATCTGCAATCTACCAAGTAAATACACAGTGACTATAAACGAACACGACCAAGTAAATACGCTATAAACGAGCACGTTAATATGATCATTGAGACATGAGATTTATGAGGTCCTCTGTGAACTAGCATATGCAATGCTGTAAATATTGGCAATGGGGGAGACGTTGATACAATAGAGATACAGTCCCATGTTGTTATCAGCTGCTGTCGTTGAGCATCACCACGCCCAGCCATGAAAAGATCACTGTCAGATTTCTGTGATGTCCATTGTATCAGAATCACCTCAAGCGGCTTTGTAACGATGTTTGACCACAGCTGACCCGTGGCTGTCCCCGCGGGCTACTGGTGTTGTCCTTTTGTTGTCCTCACGCGTGGATGCTTGCCACCATCACAGAATCCTTGTTTGAGAAACAGCGCTATGGTTTCAGTAAACGTGATTACCTGTGTACTGACCAGGTGTGCAGTCTCACTGCCTGTGTGATGATCAGATGCCCTGCTGCTAAACCATGTTCGGAACCACGTGGGTCAGTTCTCCGTAGGTCAGTGTGGATCAGACTGGTCGAGAGATGTGTGTCTTTAACCTCTGGATTGCTCTTTCTGCCTGTGTCTGTCTAGCTATATTACGTCTCTCTATACCCCAAGATGATATTCTCTTTGCCTCTATCATTGACCTATCTCATCTCTACCCTCAGGATCTCTGCAATGTTCTACCCTCTGTCCACCCTGGCTGACCTATCCTATCGTATAAATTTGACTTAACGCATTTCCCCATCCCCTGGTTGACCTTTTCCTTGTTAATGCTCTATGTAACTACCTTTAGCAGACCTTTAGCACTATTCCCAACATGTACGGACCTAGCCACTGCGCACAGCCTAATCTGTAGTGACCCTGTCGCCCTACAGGAACTGACCACGCCCTATCTCATGCCCCCATTACCCCCTCGTCGTACACACGACCTACCCTCTTCCCACTTAAGCTGGCCTATGCCCCACCCCGCGCCCTGACCCACTAACACTGCTACCGCTAGGCTGTACCCCCGCCTGTACCCTCTGTATGGCAATGTTTGTTAAGGGTGGTTGGTGTTGTCGCACCAGTGCTGTCTTTGTTCCCTGGTCTGATGGTATGCCTGATGGTGTGTTCCGGCATGCCGGACTGCCCCTACATTAGTCTCGGTGGACCGTGGTGTGTGGTTACCAGGTGCCCCTGAACACACCCACATGGGACTATTGGCCTGGTCTAGAGTAACGAGGAGATGGTGGACACAGTCATTGTTTCGTGCCACCAGTAGTTAAAACGTTGGCCTGAATTAAACGTTCTGTGAAACCCATCAAAATCCAGAAATGGTTACTTGTTGACTGACCGTAAATATTAGTTATTTCTTATGCTGGTTGTTTTTGTGTGGCGACAGATGTGCGTGTGTTATGGATGTTACACAGAAACTACCGTTACATGTACTTGTCCAGGGATAATTGGCGTGGAATCGAAACTCGTCAGTATTTTGAGGAAAAGCTGGCGTCAGCTATCACAATCGAAATATGTCTGCATGTTCTTTGGTCTGTCTATCTGTCACCCCTTATTGTTGTGAAAGGCTGCATACAGCACTGTTCCAATTCGGCAATAACGGCAGGTATATAATATCGTCTTCGCCAGATAACGCTTTTGATCTACAATCTGCGGCATCAGGGTAATAAAATGCCCTTGTGCGACTTACATTGGGATGGTTGCTGGGAATGAATTCTAATCCAGACTGTCTAGGACGTTTCTCAGTACTACAAGGTAGGATGTAGGGAGGTGCGTGGAGTAACCGGTTCCATTGTTGATACGGGAAGACAGCTGTGCACGTTTGTAGGCTAATGTAGAAGACGAAGGAGAAAAAGATGTCGATGTCACGTAATCTTGAGATCAATCCAATTGCGTTCAAATGTGCAAGTGACACGGCCCACGTTTACGGTGATGGTTGATTGTAATCGCCTAAAGTAGATTGTCTTTTAAGTTTACAGGTGTGTCCATGTGTTAAAACGCTAACTGAATGCCCAGCTAATTGACTGTCACTTAGGAGGTGTTGCAATATTGACATGATGGATTCAAACCTGATCATAGGAACAATAGCGCTGAACCCCAGACCAGTTGGTGCTCCAGTACCCAGAGATTCAAGAGCAATGGTCGTTAGGGTTCATGGCTGCGGTAATTAGCATGGCAGTATCTTGTTCCACCTGGACGAGCACCTGACTAATACATCTCTACCACCTGACTTGTGGTTCATGTCATGAGTGACGTTCAGATTCCATGTCGTGACATTCGGAAATATTTCAGCTTAAATACGTCACGAGCTCTGTGTGCAGGTTTTGAATGTTTTAATATACAAAGAACAATGCAGCATGTGACAGTTTTACGCAGGATGTCGGGCACAGTTGTCACATGTAAAGAGCAGCCAGGGCAAGTGTGTACAAAGTAGCGATGGAACCGGTACAACACCGGATTACATTTTATTTTGTTTTTATTAGTTTTTTATTTCTCAATACGTCATAATGAATATGTTATACAGATGTAGGGTCTCCAGCTAATGTCAATAGTTTACAGTATACTAGTTTACACTCTCGAGACGGCCGAATGAACACTGTTTTCACCTGTATTTATACACTACCCTGTACAAGCACTAGCACGTTGCTGTATACAAGGTAACGGACTTAAGTTTACAGAATATGCTCCATGTCTACATGTCTACATGGTGTTCGTACCTGATTTAATTTATGGAAATTAAAAACTAGATTAAAACCATTCTGATATTAGATTTCATGCAAATAAAATGGGCCTTGAACACATTACCCTAACCAAATCCTAAATGGTTATACATTGAATGCATTGTCTTAGATTTATACATAAATCTTCATTCGTCATCTTCTTGCTTTAGTTCACACTTATATATGAAGGGATAGAACACTTAGAGAAGAAATATGTTACAGTGTCCCCTATTCCAGATATTCCAATGTACCCTATTTTAGGCATATATCTATTGTACACTGAGGCGTCTTAGTGAATGAAGGAAAATAGGAAAATCGTCTTTGAGTATCTAAAGAAATTTATTTCTGTTTTCAATACAACTTGATCTGATTTTAAATGACACCATCAATTTAATTTGCACATTGGTTATCCAAAGTTCGAGCTCAGACCATGTGTCTATATATGTGGCCACTGTGGTTATACCAATATTAAGTTCATCAAACGGATATACAACTACGTATAAGACCCACGAGGACATTGCCAGTGACCTCGACCCAGCCCTGTCCACGTCAACCGGCCTGTGATGTTGAATGTCCACCGCTGATGTTTGTTCACCGATCGATAGAGCAACACAACCAATAATAACACAGACAGACGCTATCTGTTAAAGCTTTGTTCTCCTGACCTGTTTGAGTTCAACTCTGCTCATGGGCAAGATTATGTTACACATAATACCCATCATTTATGAAGTGAACACAACTGTTTTTTGTAACCCTTCGTAATGCAGTATCTAGGTCAGGTATTGAGATAGAGTGATAGCAGTTAAAGTGAGGTGTATGTTTCAAGTCTCATTTCACTCTGCGCCTGTGTCATGTACACTTAAGTAGTCGGGCACTCCTGTAGGGGGAGAGACATCTTCCGGGTGTGGGTAGCTTCATGTTGTGTTTGA